TCCCTGTCAGATACAATAGATACTGGCACTCCATGTAATCTCACAATTTCATTCACATACATGTTAGCTAGCTTGTCTGCATTATAAATAGTTTTGATAGACAGAAAATGGGTAGACTTAGTTAAACGGTCTGCAATGACCCAAATAGAGTCCATACCTCGGGGAAGAGCGAGGCAATCCCACTATGAAATCCATGGTTATGTGCTTCCATTTCCATTCCGGTATTGGGAGTGGTTGTAGCAACCCAGCGGGTCGTTGATGTTCATCTTTAAGCTGTTGGCAATGTAGACATCTAGCCATAAAATTTGCAATACTCTTTTTCATTCCAGGCCACCAAAAATTCTGTTTCAAATTGTGATACATTTCCGTGCTCCTCGGGTGCATGGCAAACTTGCTGCTGTGAGTTTCGGTCATAACACGCTTTCTCAAATCAGAGGAATCTGGCACACAAAGTCTATTCTGAAATTTCAACACATTATTCTCAAACACAAATCCCGGCCTCAGCTTTCAATCAAATTCCTCTATGATCTTTCTCAAGTACTCATCTTCACATTTTGCAAATCAATCTTCAAAATGCTATGAAACATGCATGAATGCATGGAATGACTAACAATTGCTTAGTTCTAACCCAATTCTTGCATGAGTTCAGCATTTCACTTGAATCTTAGAAGAATAAAATTCAATTATACAACTAAAAGCTTGATCCCTTACCTAGAGTCCATAATTCCCTTAATCTTAGCCCAATCCAACAATCAACCACCAAAACCTTCCAACTCTTGATCCTTCCTAGAAATTCTCTTCTAAACCCTTAGAATTGAACCCAAGCTTCTCCCTCTACCTCTCTCTCTCGTTTGGGGCTTAATGGTGAGGAGAAGTGGAGTGTCAAACAGAATTAGTGGGGTCAAAATGGCCTTATAGGTAGTAATTAATCAAAATTAATCAAATGGCATTAATATAATCTAATTTAATCGTTCCAAACCGAATTTTAATTAAACCTACCATAAAATTCTATAAATCCTAATTAGCACATAAATCAAGTCAATTTCCGATTCGGACATCGATAAGGCCTCCAATTCGCAAACCGAAGTTCAAGCAAGAACATATCTTTCTACACTGAACAGATAGAGACACAAAAGTAATGCAATGCGCATGTAATTTAACTCATGGTTTCTTCTTAATTACTTATTTGGCCTACTTAAACATGAATTAGCATTAATCTTAGATTGGGGTTGTTACAGTCTTCCCCCCTTAAAAGAGTTTGGTCCTCCAAACTCAAATTACCTTCATCCTGGAACAACATTGGGTCCAATGGAAACAAGTCCGGATATCTCTTCATCATGTCTTCTTCTATTTCCCAAGTTGCATAAGTTCCTCCGTGGTTTTGCCAATCAACTTTTACCAACAGTATTTCTTTGTTCCTCAATCTTTTGATCATGTGGTTCACAATCTAGATAGGTCTTTCCTCATAGCTGTAGTCCTCCTTCAAGAGCACATGTGTTGGTTCAATGACATGGAGCGGATCTCTCAAATACTGTCGAAGCATTGATACAAGAAATACATTGTGCATATGCTCCATTATCGGAGATAAGGCTACCCGATAAGTTACTGAATTGATCATTTCAAGGATTTCATATGGTCTAACATATCTTGGCGCCAATTTGCTCTTAACACCAAACCGAGTTTGACCCTTCATTGGGGTCACCTTTATGAACACATGGTCCCCAACTTCATATTCCTTATCTCTTATTCGGACATCAACATAGCTCTTCTGCCAACTCTGTGCAGTTTTCAGACGCTGTTGGATCAATTTCACCTTCTCAATTGTTTCTTGCACAAGTTCTGGTCCCAACAAAGGTCTATCACCTACGTCAGCCCAACATATCGGAGAGCGGCATTTTCTTCCATACAAAGCTTCGTAAGGAGCCATTCCAATGCTTGAATGGTAACTGTTGTTGTACACAAATTCAGCTAATGGCAAATAGGTCTCCCAATTCCCCTGGAAGTCTAACACACATTCTGAGCATATCTTCCAAGTTTGGTTAGTCCGTTTAGTTTGTCCATCTGTCTGTGGGTGATAGGCCCTACTCAACCTCAGTTCAGTCCCCAAAGCCTGTTGCAAACTCTGCCAAAATCTCGACACAAATTTTGAGTCCCTGTCAGATACAATAGATACTGGCACTCCATGTAATCTCACAATTTCATTCACATACATGTTAGCTAGCTTGTCTGCATTATAAATAGTTTTGATAGACAGAAAATGGGTAGACTTAGTTAAACGGTCTGCAATGACCCAAATAGAGTCCATACCTCGGGGAAGAGCGAGGCAATCCCACTATGAAATCCATGGTTATGTGCTTCCATTTCCATTCCGGTATTGGGAGTGGTTGTAGCAACCCAGCGGGTCGTTGATGTTCATCTTTAAGCTGTTGGCAATGTAGACATCTAGCCATAAAATTTGCAATACTCTTTTTCATTCCAGGCCACCAAAAATTCTGTTTCAAATTGTGATACATTTCCGTGCTCCTCGGGTGCATGGCAAACTTGCTGCTGTGAGTTTCGGTCATAACACGCTTTCTCAAATCAGAGGAATCTGGCACACAAAGTCTATTCTGAAATTTCAACACATTATTCTCAAACACAAATCCCGGCCTCAGCTTTCAATCAAATTCCTCTATGATCTTTCTCAAGTACTCATCTTCACATTGCTTCTGTTTGATTTCTTCAATAATTGTAGGTTGAGCGGAAATAGCAGCTAAAATCCCACCTTGCTCTCACAGGACAATTTCAATCTCCTTCTATTCCAAGTCATCTAGCAATTCTTTTCAATTGGACAGCAAACATGACAAACTTGCAATGGATTTTCGGCTCAAGGCATCTGCCACGATATTTGCCTTCCCCGGATGATATAGAATCTGTAGATCATAGTATTCAATCAACTCTAGCCACCTTCTTTGTCTCATGTTCAGTTCCTTTTGGGTAAAGAAATATTTGAGGCTCTTATGATCTGTATACACTTCACAAGTTACCCCATAGAAGTAGTGACACTAGATTTTCAAAGCAAACACCACTGCTGCCAATTCAAGATCATGTGTTGGGTAATTCTTTTCATGAGGTCGGAGTTGTCGAGAAGCATAGGCAATCACTTTTCCATTTTGCATTAACACACAACCCAAACCTTTATAGGAAGCATCACTGTAAATTTGAAACCCATCAGTACCATTGGGCAAAATTAAAATTGGTGCAGTCACTAACCGGGTTTTCAACTCTTGGAAGGCTGCCTCTCTTTGTTCGTTCCAATCAAATGACACATTTTTCTGAGTTAACTGGGTCAATGGCATGGCAAGTTTGGAAAAGTCTCTCACAAATCTCCTGCAGTAACCTGCAAGTCCCAGAAAACTTCTAACCTCTGTCACATTTGTCGGTTTAGGCCAGTCTACAATAGCTTCAATTTTCTGAGGGTCAATAGAAACACCATCCTTGTTGATTACATGACCCAAAAATGCCACACTATCAGGCCAGAATTCACATTTGGACAATTTAGCGTATAATTTATTTTCTCTCAAGGTCTGTAGAGCAGTTCTCAAGCAATTCTCATGTTTGTCTGTGCTTTTGGAGTAAATCAGGATATCATCAATAAACACAACAATAAATTCATCCAGAAATGATTTAAACACTCTGTTCATAAGGTCCATAAACGCAGCAGGTGCATTGGTCACCCCAAACGGCATTACTAAAAATTCATAATGTCCATATCTAGTTCTGAATTCAGTTTTCTCTATGTCTTCAGCCTTAATTTTTAATTGGTGATACCCAGATCTGAGGTCAATTTTGGAAAATACTTGGGCTCCCTGAAGTTGGTCAAACAAGTCATCTATTCAAGGCAGAGGGTATTTGTTCTTGATAGTTACTTTGTCAATTCCCGGTAGTCTATACATAGCCTCAAAGACCCATCTTTCTTTTTGACAAATAGGACTACAGCACCCCAAGGTGAAGTGCTCGGATGGATGAATTTCTTGTTCAGCAGTTCCTGAAGTTGAGTTTTTAATTCTTTCAGTTCTGAGGTAGACATTCTATAGGAGGTCTTGGAAATAGGTTGTGTTCTCGGAAACACCTCAATAATGAATTCAATTTCTCTATCAACTAAGTCCCCAGGTAAGTCATTCGAAAACACATCGGGAAATTCACAAGCAAGAGGGATAGTTTCTACGTCAGTACCGTCAGATGATGTAGTCAGTATACAACACAAGTAACCCCTACATCCTTTCCTAAGCAGTTTTATAGCTTTCAGAGCCGAAATCAGATATGGGGGAGGAACTTCCCCATTTCCAGTAAAAATAAATTCAGGCATACCCGGTGGTCTAAACATAACAGATTTACTTGTACAGTCAATGGTAGCACAGTATTTAGTCAACCAGTCCATTCCCAAAATACAATCAAAATGATCAATGTTCAAGGGCAATAAGTCAGCATATAATATCACATCGCCAATCATAATATCACATGCTGGATAAACAGAGGCACACATCATAGAACCCCCAGACGGTGTAGATATAGATGACATATATGTCATAAGTTCTAATGGTCTAGTCAATTTCCGAGAGAAAGCATGCGATACAAAGGAATGTGTAGAACCAGAATCTATTAGTACACATGCATTTTGAGAACATACAGGAAGTATACCTGACACCACAGTATCGGTGTTTTGTACGTCACCGGGCACTAAGGCAAACACTCGACCTTGTCTCAGAGGTTCTTTCCCAGTATTAGCCTTTGCAATTGTTTTGGCTGTAGAAGCGAACCCAGCTGAACTCTCCATAGGACGGCTAGTATTCTCAGACCCAAGTGGGCAATCTTTCACTACATGACCTGTCTTGCCACATCGAAAATAAGCACCGAATACTCGATAGCACACACCCCTATGCCTTCTTCCACAATCAGAACAAACCGGAATAGGCCCACTACTCTGACTCGAGCTGCTTGTAGACCCTGTATTCTGCTTCTTACTCACATGAGACCGGCCTCTTGTAAAACAATACCCAGACATTTTTCCTCTCCAATCAGTTGTTGTAGTTGCTGGGGCTTTACTTTGTTTCATAGTGGCCAGGGTGGCTTCCGCCATTAAGGATCTGTCTAAAACTTCCACATAAGTAGGCAATTTCAGTACGCCTACCCGATCAAACACTTCTAAATCCAGTCCACCATCAAATTTTTGTGCTTTCTTGTAATTAGTATCCACCATATGTGGAGCAAATCGTGCTAGTTCAGTGAATTTGGCTTCATACTCAGCTACAGACGTTCTTCCCTGTTTAAGTTCTTGAAACTTTGACACTTTCCGATCCCTGAAACATTGGGAAAAATATTTATCATAGAAGATTGCATTAAACTGTGCCCACCTCATATTCCCATTGTCGCTTCAAATTAGTAACCACCACCTTCGGGCTTCATCCTTCAGAGTATAGGTGGCTAGGAGGACATTCTAGACTTCAGAACAAGGAAACACTTCAAATAGTTTTTCCATTTCAAGTAACCACGTCTCCGCTTTCAACGGTTCCATTCCACCAAGGAATGTCGGCGGTTTCATCTTCATGAATTTCTGTGTCAAGTTCATGATATCATTATTATCTGCTTCGGCTTGTGCCGACGGAGGTGGAGGGGGCAAAGGTTGTTGTCTTTGCTGTTGTGTCATAGTTTCAGTTAATGCCGCAAGCATTTGTTCCATTCGGCTCAGCGAGCCTCTGAAGATTCACTTACATCATTTCCCCTTGCATTCTCCATGTTGCTATAGAGACATCAAATGATAATAACCATAGGAATAATCTTATTCGTTTCTTTTAATTCATTTGCTCAAATTTACATTCAGTTTTCATATCCATTTGGATTACCACATACTCACACATGTAGATGGAATGCCCCTAATTCTTACTAAGGCATCCTAAGCTCATATGGACCCGTGTGTGCAGTAGAACACGTGCTCTGATACCACTCTGTCATAACCCAAACCTGCCCCTGTAGGTTTAGCATCGTAACCGGCTAGTAATCCTTGGATTACCAAAGGCCTCTTGACAGATTATCATATAATAAGGGGCTGCGGAAGCAAATATACAAAATATAAATGGTCTAATGAGCTGTGACAACATACATGGGACAGAATAATTTAAAACTTGTAAGAACATAAGGGTGACGACCAAAAGATGCAGTATATTTACATATTCCTCCCATAAGGGTAATACAGGAAAACCAACCCGACTTAACAAAACAAACAAAGATTATGATGATTACAAAAAAACAGCCACAAAAAAGACTTCGTCCGGAACCTCCTCAAAAGGCGCAAAGGTTGGCTAACAAAAACCAAAATGAAGGTCGTCAACTCCGGCCCCGATCACGTGCCGGCTCACCAACATACATAATATAAACAGTGAGCGGAAGCCCAGTGAATAATAACGGAGTAAAGGGGTTTTAATGAATGAGTCCATACAGATTCAGAAATCATAATTCATTTTCATAACAAATTCATATTCTTGTTCTTGTCCAGTTCATATATAGAAGTCATAAGTCTTGCTTAAGCCTACGTGGTACATCCATTAACGTTAACAGAGCAGATACAGAACGGATGCGGACACATGGTGGTTATGATTAACCAGTTCCATAAAGGAACCTCCAGATCTGGGTAACAGAGAATAAACATACTGAGCCCCATGATGGAGCCTCCGGTATGGGTAACAGAGTGCAGACATATTAAGTTCCATAATGGAACCTCCGATACCAGGTAACAGCTAACACATATCACATGATGCTAAGGATGCCACGAATACATATCAGAAATTGGACAATCATTCATTGTACAGAACATAGCATTTCAAAAAACAAATCTTATTTCATCATATAGAAAATAAAAAAAGTTTAACATAGCTTTACTATGTTATTACTCAAAGTTGGCTTGAGGCAGACAGACGGAGCAGACTGGTCAAACGGTATACGGCACGTGACCTACAGGACACATAACAGATACACACCTGAAACACACGTTCAAATTGTACATAACTTATATCGTTTGTTCTTAGTGCGTTTCTAGCCTTTAATCCTCATTATGGAGTCTTAAACATGGCCTAGGAATGCCTAGAATGGAATGAGGATGCAAAAATGTATTGGAAAATATTTTTCAAAACTTGCTGAAAATAAGGTCCACGCTCGAGTGTGGCTTTCCTGCTCGAGCGGGCATGCAGACAATGAATCTCAGCTCGAGTGTGACTTGCCCCGCTCGAGCGGACTGTAAACTTTTGAAAAAGTACAGGTTGCATGTTTTTCACGCTCGACGGACGCTCGATCCCCGCTCGAGCATGAGACTTAGACTCTCGCTCGACCACGGATTCCCTCGCTCGAGTGGACTGCAAAACACATGAACTTCTGCATATATGCATTTCACGCTCGAGCGTGACTCTCGATGCTCTAGTAGAAGTGCATGTACTCAGAGTGCACGCTTGAGCATAAAGTTCCCCGCTCGAGCGTGGATCAAATTTCTAGAATTTCCAGATTTGATCACCAAGCTCAAATTCAACCTCAAATGCATCAAACTCAATTTTCTGGGCCCAAAACTTTGGAAATCACTTAGAAACTCATAAAACAACATGTTTAAGGCATTATTTCATGAAATCATGGCCCAAAAGGATGCCAATCGTGCAAAAATTTAACTTGAAACTCAAGATTAATTCATTAACATAACATGCATGCACATCATTGAACTAAGGCTCTCCAAAACATGATCAAATGCTACTAAATAACATGAAACTCATTGTTTTCCCAAAATTACAGTGAACTTAGCACATGCATGAGGGAATTTTTGCAAATCAATCTTCAAAATGCTATGAAACATGCATGCATGCATGGAATGACTAACAATTGCTTAGTTCTAACCCAATTCTTGCATGAGTTCAACATTTCACTTGAATCTTAGAAGAATCAAATTCAATTATACAACTAGAAGCTTGATCCCTTACCTAGAGTCCACAATTCCCTTAATCTTAGCCAAATCCAACAATCACCCACCAAAACCTTCCAACTCTTGATCCTTCCTAGCAATTCTCTTCTAACCCCTTAGAATTGAACCCAAGTTTCTCCCTCTCCCTCTCTCTCTCTTGTTTGGGGCTTAATGGTGAGGAGAAGTGGAGTGTCAAATAGAATTAGTGGGGTCAAAATGGCCTTATAGGTAGTAGTTAATCAAAATTAATCAAATGGCATTAATTTAATCTAATTTAATCGTTTCGAACCGAATTTTAATTAAACCTACCATAAAATTCTATAAATCCTAATTAGCACATAAATCAAGTCAATTTCCGATTCGGACGCCGATAAGGCTTCCAATTCGCAAACTGAAGTTCAAGCAAGAACAGATCTTTCTACACTGAATAGATAGAGAAACAAAAGTAATGCAATGCGCATGTAATTTAACTTATGATTTCTTCTTAATTACTTGTTTGGCCTACTTAAACATGAATTAGCGTTAATCCTAAGTCAGGGTTGTTACATTGTTCCTCCTTAAATTTGGTTATTTGGACGTGTTAAATGCATTTGGAACAGGTTGATTGCTTGGTTTTCAAACCTTGTGCTGTCTAGAATTTTGGTCCTCCGCTCAAGCGATCTTTCTTGTGCTCGAGCAGGATTTGCAAACTTTCAGTACTTTGCACGTCTACAAAAGTACAGGAGGGATGTTTTCCACACTCGAGTGGCGTTTCCTACGCTCGAGTGGGCGGGTGTAGACACCTTATTTTTCACCGCCCTTAAGACTTGGGGCCTCAAGTTGAATGCTCAAGGATGAAGGCTATGTTGTGCAAAGGTTCGATTTCTTCGGCAAGAGGAGCTTCAAATCCTAACCTTATCAAAACTATTTTGACCAAAATTATTTTAGACCTTAAAACCCTTTTTTCAAAATATTTTTGAAAAAAGTTTCTACGATGTTCCGAAGCTCGTATTTCGTTAAATGTTGCACTTTTCGATAAATCGAGCAAGGAAAAAGTGGAAATAAATGAAAAAAAGGTGAACTCTTTGAAAAATATTTCAAAACATCTTATTTAGAGGTTTGTAGTTGAAGAAAATAGGAGGGGAGGGAAGAAAACTAGTTGAGGAGAAGTTAGGCATCAATCCGGTTAGGACTAAAACTAAGCAGTCTTGACTAAAATAGGAATATCTTTTTGTATACTTGGAATTTTGATTTGAGGCTTCCACCATTGGAAAGTAGACTTCCGGGACTTCAATTTAGACTGAAGAATAACCTGCAAAGGAGTCCATATGAAAGAGATATGCCCATTTGAAGTCAGGCAAAAAAAAATAGTTTTTAGCCACTATTGTGGCTTGCCGGCCCCATGCTGGCCATAGGTGAAGCTTGCCGGCCCCATGCCGGCCATGGATGATGTTTTCCAGCCATGGATGAAGTTTGCCGGCCATTAGTGTCAAAAATCAATTTTTTTGCAAATATTTACCTCCAGCTAGTTGCACAAAGTTCTAGCCGTCCATTTGATGATATTTTCGACCGAAGCTCACTTTTTTCTATATATAGATGACCTATCTCTCATATTTCAAGGTTAGAAAAATTTAGGGAGTCTCTCTCACTACAATTCTCTCTCTCTCTCTTACAAGTTTGTGCAAATTAGCCTACATATACTTCAAGTTTGCCTATCAACCCTTAACCAAAGTTTCTTATCTTTGGGATGAGGTTACTTCGGACCCTCTTTCAGCTCTAGAAGGTGGTCTTGGCTTGATTTATTGCTTCATTTGTGTCTTCCCTTCAAGAGGTATAATACTTGCCTTTTAAAATTGTTTTGCATAATTGCTTTGCCATCTTCTTCTATTGTTTTTAGGCTGTTTTGGGGCTGATTTTGAACTATAAAAAACTCTATTTTTGTGGCCTAAAGGTGGTGATGTGAGGCCATTTTCAGTTAGGGGTTGGTTCACCCTTCTTACTTCTTTGTTTGTAAAGATTTTGTGCCTTTGTTCACCATTTTCAAACCAACTTTTATGGGCCCTTTAACCACTGAATTTCAGAGGTTTTTCAATGGCAAAAAACTCATTTTGAAGTCCAAATTTGGAGGGATTAGCCTCCACTCCTTGTGTCTTGTTTGCATCCTTAGTTAGCTTCATATGTTAGCATACTTTTCTAGCTTAACTTAGCTTAAGTCCAGCATGTTTTAGACTCTGAAATAGCCTTCTTTAGCTTTGTTTTGGGCTGGTTAGTTCACTTGGGCCTTGTTTTGCGTGGTTGTAGTGCAATAGTCCTCATAAGTCGGTGGTTTAAGGTCTTAGCCATCTCTTGTTTGAGTTGATAGCATATTTTGGTGTTGTTTTACATTCCATTTCAGCACTATAGACTCTGCAACCTCCCTCTTTGCTTCACTTTTTCATTTGTTTTTTAGGGTTGTTTCAAGTTTGGGATCCTTTAAGCTTGAGATTGTGGTCATGCTTAATGGTTTAATCCTCTTTGAGGGATCATTATCAACGGCATGATCTCTCTCTTGCCTTACATTATCCCTTGGTTGACACTCCTTTCATCTTAGAGGACACTCACCAAATGGACAAATTGATTAAGGGATGATTTGGTAACTAAAATGTGTAAACAAAAATTGGCAAGTAAAAGTGGCAAGATAAGCATTCTTTGTGTTGCATTGCATGTGTTCGAATCGGACGTCAATTTGAACACAAGAAAAATGGGACATTTCATACTCACTAGTG